TGTTAGACCATGAGGCAGTGTTAGACCATGAGGCAGTGTTAGACCATGAGGCAGTGTTAGACCATGATGCAGTGTTAGACGATGAGGCAGTGTTAGACCATGAGGCAGTGTTAGACCATGAGGCAGTGTTAGACCATGAGGCAGTGTTAGACCATGAGGCAGTTAGACCATGAGGCAGTGTTAGACCATGAGGCACTGTTAAACCATGAGGCAGTGTTAGACCATGAGTTAGTGTTAGACCATGAGGCAGTTAGACCATGAGGCAGTGTTAGACCATGAGGCAGTGTTAGACCATGAGGCAGTGTTAGACCCATGAGGCAGTGTTAGACCATGAGGCAATGTTAGACCATGAGGCAGTGTTAGACCATGAGGCAGTGTTAGACCATGAGGCAGTGTTAGACCATGAGGCAGTGTTAGACCATGAGGCAGTGTTAGACCATGAGGCACTGTTTAGACCATGAGGCAGTCTTAGACCATGAGCAGTTAGACCTGAGCAGTGTTAGACCATGAGGCAGTGTTAGACCATGAGGCAGTTAGACCACGAGGCAGTGTTAGACCATGAGGCAGTGTTAGACCATGAGGCAGTGTTAGATCATGGGCAGTTAGACATGAGCAGTGTTAGACATGAGGCAGTGTTAGACCATGAGGCAGTGTTAGACCATGAGGCAGTGTTAAACGATAAAGGCAGTGTTAGACCATGAGGCAGTGTTAGACCATGAGGCAGTGTTAGACCATGAGGCACTGTTAGACCATGAGGCACTGTTAGACCATGAGGCAGTGTTAGACCATGAGGCAGTGTGTTAGACCATGAGGCAGTGTTAGACCATGAGGCAGTTAGACCACGAGGCATGTTAGACCATGAGGCATGTTAGACCATGAGGCAGTGTTAGACCATGAGGCAGTGTTAGACCATGAGGCAGTGTTAGACCATGAGGCAGTGTTAGACGATGAGGCAGTGTTAGACCGATGGGGATGTTAGACCATGAGGCAGTGTTAGACCATGAGGCAGTGTTAGACCATGAGGCAGTGTTAGACCATGAGGCAGTGTTAGACCAAATGAGGCAGTGTTAGACGATGAGGCAGTGTTAGACCATGAGGCAGTGTTAGACCATGAGGCAGTGTTAGACCATGAGGCAGTGTTAGACCATGAGGCAGTGTTAGATCATGAGGCAGTGTTAGACCATGAGGCAGTGTTAGACCATGAGGCAGTGTTAGACCATGAGGCAGTGTTAGACCATGAGGCAGTGTTAGACCATGAGGCAGTGTTAGACCATGAGTCAGTGTTAGACCATGAGGCAGTGTTAGACCATGAGGCAGTGTTAGACGATGAGGAGTGTTAGACATGAGGCAGTGTTAGACCATGAGGCAGTGTTAGACCATGAGGCAGTGTTAGACCATGAGGCAGTGTTAGACATGAGGCAGTGTTAGACCATGAGGCAGTGTTAACCATGAGGCAGTGTTAGACCATGGGGCAGTGTTAGACCATGAGGCAGTGTTAGACCATGAGGCACTGTTAAACCATGAGGCAGTGTTAGACCATGAGTTAGTGTTAGACCATGAGGCAGTTAGACCATGAGGCAGTGTTAGACCATGAGGCAGTGTTAGACCATGAGGCAGTGTTAGACCATGAGGCAGTGTTAGACCATGAGGCAATGTTAGACCATGAGGCAGTGTTAGACCATGAGGCAGTGTTAGACCATGAGGCAGTGTTAGACCATGAGGCAGTGTTAGACCATGAGGCAGTGTTAGACCATGAGGCACTGTTAGACCATGAGGCAGTGTTAGACCATGAGGCAGTGTTAGACCATGAGGCAGTGTTAGACCAAGGCAGTGTTAGACCATGAGGCAGTTAGACCACGAGGCAGTGTTAGACCATGAGGCAGTGTTAGACCATGAGGCAGTGTTAGACCATGAGGCAGTGTTAGACCATGAGGCAGTGTTAGACCATGAGGCAGTGTTAGACCATGAGGCAGTGTTAGACGATGAGGCAGTGTTAGACCATGAGGCAGTGTTAGACCATGAGGCACTGTTAGACCATGAGGCACTGTTAGACCATGAGGCAGTGTTAGACCATGAGGCAGTGTTAGACCATGAGGCAGTGTTAGACCATGAGGCAGTGTTAGACCATGAGGCAGTTAGACCACGAGGCAGTGTTAGACCATGAGGCAGTGTTAGACCATGAGGCAGTGTTAGACCATGAGGCAGTGTTAGACCATGAGGCAGTGTTAGACGATGAGGCAGTGTTAGACGATGAGGCAGTGTTAGACCATGAGGCAGTGTTAGACCATGAGGCAGTGTTAGACCATGAGGCAGTGTTAGACCATGAGGCAGTGTTAGACCATGAGGCAGTGTTAGACCATGAGGCAGTGTTAGACCACGAGGCAGTGTTAGACCATGAGGCAGTGTAGAGTAATAAGCTCAGGCTGATTATTCAAAAAAATTCTTCAAGGTAAACTGTATTAAACAAAAACCGAGTTGAGAATAATCTCAAGTCTCATAA